GCCACTGGCTTTGGTAGCAGGACCCAGCAGTGTGGGAACCATGGCGTTTAAGCCCAAAAAGGCCAGCGAGGGTTGCTCTGTGTTATCAAACTGGGTACACAAGCAATGGTCAGACCCTCTGAGGGTCCCTGCTCCCCATCCTGGCTCCCTTCCCTTTCCAGAGCCCCATGAGCACAGCTCCGCTGTGAGGCCAGGGGTCTCTTGAGCCCTTTCATGTATCACCCTTCAAACTGCCTTAAATTGCACCAAACTCCATCCCGGTGTATTCTGGAGCCATCCCAGAGCTGGGGTCTCCTCCGCCACATCCTCAGGGGGCTGTGCCCTCCTCATTGCAAATCTGTGAGGATTTTTGTGGGAGGGTTTCCTGTTGCCGGTGCTGAACCAGCATCCCCCGAGGTCGGGGATAACACGGCCACGTTGCTCCTTGCGCCCCGGCAGGGTCTGCTGGCCATCCTGGTGTGAGCAGAGAGCACGGCACAGAGGAAGAGGAGGAACAACCAGCGAGGATGGAGCAGCAAGAGCATCATCATCTACTTCTCCTTTCTAAGCTTGATTCAGGATTCTTGATAATATTTAATTTATTTAATACTGGTTGGTGTGAGTACTGAGGTACTCGCATAAGCCAAAACCCGATGGGCAGCTCAGTGTCCCAGTGTTTATTTAGAGAAATGAGTGTGATTTTGGGGTCGCAGTTGTAGCGGTTGCATGTGATGCTGCAGTGGAATCGTCGAACTTGTTGGGAGGGAAAATTGCACCTGGTTTTTTAAGTAAATGTCACCATCCCCGTTGGGAAGGGTATGAGGATGCTGAGCAGGAGCTCAGGATACAGCTGTCACATAACTCCTTTAATAAATACTCTACTTTTTTAGTGCTTGGAATGAGGGTCTGGTTTCTGATGCTGCTCGGGGAGAGAAGCTGTCCTGCCCCCTGCTCCGGGGTCTGGGTCCTTTGTGACCACTGGGGTTTCTGGTTTGAAAACTTTTGGGGTTTGGTTTAAAAACTTTTTCTACTTAAAATTCCCAAGGGAAAAAAAAACCCCTTGGCTATTCCATGGCTGCTCCTGGCCAGGTAACCCACAGCCCAAACACTAATGCACGAGCAGAAATCAGAATGAAAATGAATTTCCAAAGGCCATGAAGCATTTGCTGTAGAATCTGAAGGGGAACTTCACGAGCAGGTGATGGAGCAGTGCAGTAACAGTGGCTGGGGCTGGTGGAGCAGTCGTTGGTCTCTGCACATCACAGGGTCTGAGTTCAGAAAAACAAGTTATTCTGGGTAAGAAAAGTTAAAAAATAATCAGAGGTCTTAAGTGGCCTCTCCAACACCCGCTTTTCCCAGCCCGAGGTGTTGCTATAGTGTGTGATTTATTGCTGCTGTCCCTAAAGCTGAGGGCAACCGTCACTGTTGTGGCATGGGTGAAGTCCGAGCAGGGGCTGGCACGGCTTGTGTCACAACTTGTGTCACGACTCACGTCATGACAGGAGGGTTTTGGGCTGGTTGAAGCACATGGCAATGCTGAAATCCAGTGTTTGGGGGAGTCTGAACACCTCCTCCCGTCCCCAGTTCCATGCAGGCCACTGGCGCTGGTGGGACCGTGCTCCCAGGGCCGTTCAGCCACTGGTGACAAGGCCCTTGCCCTGTCCTGGGTGGAAATGGTGCTCACGGGCAGTGATGGGGCTCACCCCAGCCAAATCTCATGGGTGAGGGGTCTCTGCGTGCGCACAAGAGGCACCCGTGGAGGACGGGGCTGTGCTCGGGACCCTCAGCCCCTGCCTGTGCTCCCCGGTGCCGGCAGAGCGGGGTTTGGGGGTGCATGGCCCTGGGGGGCAGGAGGAGCAGCCCCGCTGGTGGCCACTTTGTGCCATCCCAGGGCTACCAAATTGATGGAGCTTGGCTTCTCTGTTTGTCCCTTTTGCCCTCAGGTTGGCATGAAGGGCTCTGTTTGGGCTCTGGTTCCTGAGCAAACGCCAGCGCTGTGGTAAGTAAGGTTTAGGACCTATTTTACATTACTTTTTGCAGCCAGCACCCGTGTGTGCGTTCTGGTTTGCTGGGTGGGGATTAACTTTGCACGGTGAGCAATCCGTGACCTGTCCCTTGTCCCTGTCAAAATCTTCTTATGCCTCTGGAAATGGCTTTTTCTCCCAGGTATTGGCTCCTGTTGCATTGCTCATGATGATGATGAGCGGGGAGGAGCAGGGGAAGCTTTTTGGAAGGAAAGGGCAGCAACTGCTTGGTGTAACTCATTACTTCTGCAACTCCTCAGTCTCATGCTCATGGGTTCAGGAGCGAATCTGGAGCAGGAAACTGCGAGTTGGAGTTCATAGGAGCTGGGGCGATTCTGTCCACCATGGAAAACCCACTCAGCAGTCATTTGTCTATGCCAAAAACACTAATTCGGATGCTTTTTTCAGCATTTCATTCTCCAGGTGACCCCAGGGCCGTGCCCTGCGGATGCAGCCGTGCTCAGTAAATGGGGTGACCGCAGGGAGATGCAGACCCCCCCATCTCCATGGTGACCCCACGCCTGGTCCAGGTAGGATGTGTGGGGCTGGGGTTGGGGTCTGCACCCCCAGAGCCACAGAGCCACACAGCAGAGCTTAAACCCCAGATATCCACAGGCAAATAAATACATCTTTTTAGTGCTGTAGCTTATTCCTTCTGGGAACCTGGTTTCAGATCTACTAGTCAAAGAATAATGGTTGCAGCTCTGCCAGGAAACTTTTATTAGGAGCAGTTCCTGCTATTGCCAACTTTGGGCACTAAAATCATTAGTCAGGTCCCCAAGCTGGGCACGGAAACCTTCAGGGTTTTCCACTCCTTACAATAAATCACCTTGGCTTGTTTTGTTTGCTTTCCTACTTCGGAGCCTCTGAAATACAAGGGTTTGAAGTGCTTGACAGCAGCTCCGGAGGCCAGAAACGATGCGGGGAGCTGCTGCAAGAGGGAGCAGATGTGAGTGTTGTTAATGCGGTTTTGTGGTGGGTGTTTGAGGAGGCATCACCGGCACAGCCCATGGTCGGGGTCTTGGGGCTCCGTTACCCACCCTCCTGGACACTCAGGTGGGTTTTTCCCCCTTTATTTTGCTGGAGAACCCCGTGGGATTGGTTTGGCCGGGGCAAAGCATGCACCAGCGCCACCAAACACCGGTGCCCATGCGGGCGCGCGTGTGCCTTTGGTCGGCATCTTCCTGCCGTGAGCTCTGCCAGAAGTGCAGTTTTGAAAATAAAAACTGCCTTCGGGCCTAAAATTAGAAACCATTGTGCAGACTGGTTTTTCTAATTATTTCCCCTCCTTTTTTCTGACCCAGGGAGCGCCATCAGTTGAATGTTCCCATAGTAACACCAGGAGTGGAGGAGCAGCAGATGAAGGATCTGGTGTTGGCAGGGGCCGTGTTGTTCCGCAGCGGAGAGGCACGCGGCTGCTTTGCATCCTTATAAACTGCTGGGATTTTCATGAAAATTTTCAATTTTCATTATTTTCTCCCTTAATTAAGTGTGAGGTCTGCACATCTGTACCGACACCAGTTCTTAGCAAGACAAAATTCACATCTTTAGGTAAAAATTGTTAGGGGAAGCCAATATTCATACCAGAAAATGCAGTATTAAAGAGGAATGTTTAATTAAAGTATGGAACATCATTACAATTACAACCCATCCTCTTTGTGCAACAAAAATACCGAGAGCGGGGCTGGGAGAGAAAGCCGCTAGTGCAGTGACCCTAGATCTGGAGCTGTGCTGTTTTAGCAGGGCAAGGAGGAAGATTTTCAACGTTTCGAGCGGTGCCGAAGCCCAGATCCTAAATTCGGAGCCACCAGACCCATTCTGCCGCGGTTTCGCCCCTGCTGCCGTCAGCCCAGGGAGCTCTGCCCTCCCATCCTCGCCTGGAGCTCCAGGTTGCAGGGGACCAAGACGTAATCCTGGGGGGAAACAGGGGCTGAGCACGGTGCTCGTGGGCTCGCAGCCCCTCTGACATGGCCACTGCTCGTGCCAGTGGGGCTGGGGGCTGTTTAACCCCAAAACTTGGTCCTGTGGGTTAACAGGTTGGAGGAGCAGCCTCCCATTTGCTCCGGAGCCAGGAGGGCAGCGTCACTCGTGGGTTTCCTTTAAATCAAACGTAGCAGGGAGCAGTTTAAGCGCTCTATTTCTTACCTTGTGGATGACGACATTGACGTCGGTGTAGGTGAAGCTGGAGAGGTGCGGCAGGAGCACCCCTGCGCTCAGCACCTCTGGGAGGAAAGAGAGGGGAGGTTATTGGGTGGGTGCTGCCTTCATCCCCCTGTGCAGCCCCCCTGTGCGACCCCCAGCCCCTCACCGTTGATCTGGGCGGGCACCTCCTGGCGGATGGTGGGCAGCAGCAGCTCCTCCAGCACCTCGGCCTGCAGCAGGGACAGCCCCGGTCACCCCGTGGGAGAGCAGGAGGAGAGGGGCAGGGACCGGCACCAGAGGGGTCCTGGTGCTCCTGACCCCACATCCCCCTTCTGCAGGGTGCACCGAGCACCCAAAGCAGGTATTTCTGCACTGATTATCACTGCCTGTGGTGTGAGCAGGCTGGGAGGGAACGGCGTTGAGGTGTGGGCTGTGGCACGGGGCAAGGAGGGGACACGGTCACTTGGGGGGTGCATTGGTGGGGGTACGCACCGACACGGGACCCACGTCAGAGGCAGCCAGGCTGAGCTTGACGTCCCTGGAAAACAGAGAGCTGCTTGTGGTGAGTTGTAACAAGTAGGTTGTGATAAGTTGTAGTATTGTAGTAGGTTGTGCTAAGTAACTTGTAGTAAGTTGTAGTAAGCAAGCAGTGACTTTCACATTGCCCAGCAGCAAGGACTTGAGGCCCTAAAAGCTACAAAATTCCCAGCCCCCTGTGCCCTCCTCTCCCCGCCACGGGTGGGACGTGGCCCGGGCACTGCGGGTTCATTACTCGATGGCTGCTGCGGAGATCACCATCCTTGTGTCCACCACGCTGAGGAGCAGCCCTGCGGACAGGTCCTGCAAGGGGAGAGAAGGGATCAGGGAGAATGAAGGGTCCCGCTTTGGCTGTGGATGAGCCCATTGGGTAAGGGCAGAAATCAGCAATGGGTGCAATGGGGACGGGTCTTGGGGGGACGCGCGCTGCACCCTGGGGTGTTCCCCGTGCTGGCGGGGCCGCTCACCGCGTTGACGCTCAGGAAGCTCTGGAAAGCCGCCGAGCCTGCCCCGATGTGGATGGTGAGGAAGAGCTTCAGGTGGGCCTTGCCCTCCTCCAGCGCCACCCGCGAGGCGCTCCTGAAGACAGCCTGCAGCACCACCGGGACGTCCTCCTGGAACAGGGACCCCATCTGCCGAGCAAGGGGTCATTTTTGGGGTACAGCAGCCACCCCTTTTGTGTCTCCAGGGTGGGGGGCACTGCCCGAACTGGGGCTGAGCTTTCTGGGGTGACAGCAATGGCAACAAACCTGGGTGACCTTCTGTGCCATGGTGGCTGTGGTCAGCGGGCTCTGAAAGACAAAGTTTGGCTTGTGACCTCCATGACGTTTGGGGACGCTGTCATGTCCTGCACGGACCCTGTGGGTGCACGCAGGACCCTCCCTGCGCACCAGGAGCAGCATTTTGGTTGCTCTTCATGGCAAATTTTGGTGCACCCTTAGAGCAGAGATATTTTTGGGTGCCCAGGGGCAAGGGGCACACAGACATGGTCTCGTCTCTCTGCAGGGCCTCCTCCAAGCCCTTTGTGGAGCAGGGATCTTCCTCCAAACACAAGTTTTGGACCCCTCGCGGGCGCTGCTCACCAGGATGGTCATGTTGAAGGCTCCCGATATCTCCAGGGCAAAGAAGAGGTTGGTGTAGAAGTGCTCGGAGAAAGCCAAGGTGAGGTGGGCAGGGCTGGAGCGCGCCGTTTCGGGCATGCTGAAGGGCACGGGGCTGCTGGGCAGGGGGATGGCCATGCCCGCCACCTGGAAAGTTGTCTGCGGGGACACGAGAGAGGAGTTTGGGGAGGTGTTTGGGGTAGGGAGCACAGCGAAGGGGTGGTTGTGAGCAATGGAAATTGAGTGTTTACCTGCAAGGACACGGTGATGCCCTGCTCCGAGAAGATGGGGGCGGCCAGGGGCAGGTACTGGAGCTGGCAGTTCGGTGTCACCGGGAACTGGGCTGTGAACGGAGCAGAGGGACCCTCAGATTTGGAGTCAGTGGTGGAGACGCGAATGGGATCCCTGAGAAAAATAGCAGGGAAAGGAGCCGGGTGCAGGAGTGGGACCCAGGGGTGATGCTGGGCTTATGCAGTGAGGGGCAGCCCGTCCCCTCTCATGATGGCTCCAAAACCAGCCCCGATGCCCTGGGTCCATACAAGGACTGAAAATCAAGTGCTCACCACTCAGAGACATCAGCTGTTGGTTTGGAAACAGCAGCAGTTTGGAGACTTCCAGGCAGATCTATGGGATAAAGAACAACAAAAACCAAGGTGGTGGATGGGAATGGGGGTCTGCCAGCATCAGGCGTCCCCTGAACGCCTCTGATGTGGCTGTCCCCATCGGTCGGGTGTGCAGCAACCAGGACATGGGGCTGGCAGCGTTCGGTGGCCACGGGCACAGCCCTGGTTGGCTCAAGGCACTCAAATCCTCAGAGCTTTTACGGCTTCGTCCTCTCCTGTCTCACACCTCCCAGACTCCCTCTTACCTTATCCACGTTGATCTCCTTCTCCACGGCTGAACTGTAGGATTTGCTGGATGGGAACAACAGAACGGGAGTGAGGTGAAGACCAGCTCATTTAAGTCCCATGAGCATCTTTTATCTGACCCCAAAGGCATCCAGAGGCAGCAGTACCGTTATATTCTATTATCTGTTAAGCTACCATTACAATTCAGAATCCTAAACCACCAAAGAATTACCATTGGATTTACATTAAAAATGCTCTTGCTATGCAACTTTAAGAGATCCAGTCCCGTACGAGGGAAAGAAACTCTCTTAAAATAGGGAAACCAACACCCAGCAGAACAAAGTTCCTGCCCTGAAGGTTTTGTGTTAACCTCTGTAAGCTCTTAGGGCAGGGAGCAGACCTCAGCTGTGTCACCTCCCTGCCCAAAAGCCCTCGTGCCTCAGTTTCTTCCTTCCCCGTTACCCAGAGCCCAGCAGAAGGAGAACGCGGGACTGACCTGTCCACCTCCTCACTGCTCCGCGCCTCCTCCACGCTGGGCTTGCAGATGGAGGACACCAGCTCCAGGTTCCCCTCAGGGTTCATCTCCACGTGGAAGTCGGCCAGGATGTTCAACCGCAGCACCTTGGAGCTCGAGCTGTGCCGGGGATGAGAGCGGGGCTGGAGTGGGGGGTTGCTCTGGTGCCCCTCTCCCCGACCCCAGGGGCAGACACTGGGGATGCAGCCCCGTGGCCGGGAGCTCGGGCTCCTTCCAACACTCACGGGGCGGTTGCGACGCTCAGGTCCACGTCGATGCTGAGCCGCAGCCCCGTGTCGGGAACCAGCGACAGGGACAGTTGGGCCACGCTGACTGCGGTGACCTGGTTCCTGCTGGGGCAGAGGTGGGGGGTCAGGGGAGCAGCCCCGACCCAGGGGCAAACCCCAAAATGCTGCGAGATCTGCACAGTGCACGCATAAACCAGAGCCCCCAGGGTGGCACCACTGACCCCCAGGGAGCCTGATTCTCCACAAGAGCGGGAACCAGCGACAGGGACAGTTGGGCCACGCTGACTGCGGTGACCTGGTTCCTGCTGGGGCAGAGGTGGGGGGTCAGGGGAGCAGCCCCGACCCAGGGGCAAACCCCAAAATGCTGCGAGATCTGCACAGTGCACGCATAAACCAGAGCCCCCAGGGTGGCACCACTGACCCCCAGGGAGCCTGATTCTCCACAAGAGCGGAGTGGACTCACCTGCTGGGCTGTGGGGAGCCGAGGAACAGGTCTGGGGCTGCCGGGGCCATCAGATCCTGTCTGAGCACCATCTCAGCATGCGGCTTCGAAACTTCGGCCACTGCGAAAGAGAGCGGGTGCTTAATGAGACCTGGAGCTGGTGTTTAATGAGACCTGGAGCTGGTGGTTAACGAGACCTAAAGCTCCTGTTCAGTGAAACCTGGAGGTGATGTTTTAGGAGCTTTATGGGGTTTTATGAGCTTCTGGAGCTTGTGATCTAGGGCACAGAGGTGGACAGAACAGAACCCATCCAGCTGACGCACTGCCATCTCTTACCAACCCCCCATTACTGGCTACGGGAAGGGATGATGAACGCAAGCTAATTAACGACATGAGACCCTGGTGCCGATGTTTGGTGTCTCACCACGGACAGCTGCCCCCTTCCCACTGATGTGGGGATGCGGGGTACGGACTTACGGTAGCTGATCCCCGACGGGGCCAGGATGCCCCCACAGTCGGGTGACCTGGTGGCATGCGTGGGGACCAGGAGGATGAGGAGGATGCTGAGGGAGCGGAGTTTTGCCATGCTGGTACCTGAGGGAGAAGGAGGGCACCGCAGCACAGTCAAAGCAGCCCCGGCCACCGAGGCACGGAGTCACCAAGGCACAGAGCCACCAAGGCACGGAGTCACCAAGGCATGGAACCACCAGTCCACTCCCAGCTTGGGTGTGCAGCCCCGAGTTTGCACAATATCGATGTGGAGATTTAAAAGCCTCTAAAACCCCCATACATCTGTAAGCCAGAGCGGTGCCTGCAGCCCTATTGTGCCTGCTGAAAAGCAAGTAATGGGCTACAACTGGGATAAAACCAGCACGTAAACAGGAGCTGAATTAGTTGAGGAATGAACGGAGGACACTAAAATAAAATGAAAAGGCGAGAGAATTACTCACTACTCTGAAAAACTTTTGGTAATTGTTTATAATATTCACAATGCTCTTTCAATGTGAAGAAAACAAGAAATTCAGAAAGCTTGACCTGGATGAAATACACTTATTTCTATCAGTCTTCACAGAAAGTGGACTTGGAACCGACCCTTACAGAGACACCCCAAAGCACCGCCACCCCAAACCAGGCACAGGCAATGCCCATATCGAGCTGTTCAGGTTGCAAACGCGTCCTTACCTTCCCTGGCCAGTCCTCCCATGCTCCTCTCAGCCCGTGTCTGCCGTGGCCGCACCGAGGAGCTGCACAACCTTTATATACCCCTTGGCCAGGGCTGGTGGAGCAGAATTTGGCACAGAGGCCTGGACAGCAGGTGGGAACGCTGCGTGGACGCTTTGTTTTATGAACCATTCTAATTGTTTTCCTATGCAGTTGATGACATTGGCCGTGGACCTGGTGATCTATCAAGCAGCCGGTGCTGGGGCAGCTCGCCTTCATCCTGGTGTGCCCAAGGAGCACAAAGAAAGGCGCTGGTGGAAGTGCCAAGAGATCAAACGTTGTTAGAAAGTGTTGGAAGTATGGGAGTGTTGATCTGTTAAGGGTAGGAAGGC